CACTGGATTTAAATAGGTATAAGAACTATTTATTCATCTGTTCTTCTGTGACTTTCTTTGAGTTAGATCAGAACAGCTTCTAAATTGCTTATGCCATATTACTAATGAACAGTAAAAGGGCACTTAGCATTTTATTTTTATTTAAATAAGATTGCTGGTAATAGAAAGCCTCTTGTCTTTTGTGTTGTGACTGTCACAGGCCTGGTCCTGTAAGGCACAGGTTCTCACTAGCAGCCAGCCTGAGCACATTAAGTCTGAACAATGAGCCCTAAATGAAAAGAAAGATTTAGGCAGACCAGTTTTATAATCTACAAATACAAAGTTGAGTCCTGAACATTCTTATGCAGGTACTAAAATAGATTGATCATGCTATATTTAGGATTTTTTTTCTTGGTGGTCTTTCATTTAAATATTAAACATTACTGAGTCCACTTAGCTTATAAAAGTTGACAGAGTAACAGCTTGAAACACTATAGCTTCAAGGCACCAGTTCTCCCTATCATGAGAATTCGACATCACTGAGGGGTGAAAGGCCTTTTATTTCCATAAGATAATAGTTACGTTTTTATGCAACAGCTGTGCTGTCAGTGAAAGATGCGCTCATTGTGCCAAATCCATCTCTGGAGTAACCCCATTGATTTTAAATGAGTTACTTTGGGAATAAATTGGCCCACTAGATAAAAATGCAGGTCTGAGGCATTGAAATAATTGAGCAAGATTTCAATGATCATGACATGGTAAAAAATTTTGAAACAATTACATGATGTCATGCATTTATGTTCCTGACACATCACAATTGCTTTACCACAAGATTTTAAAATGATATAGCTAGAGCAAACATTTATGTAGAGCTTACACACACTTTCTGGCAATACGTGAATGTTAAGAGGATGCAAGAAACAGGAATATGGTATTGTGTCATTATTATCTACCTAGTGTTACTGTAAGTCAAAGAAATACGAGATGTCTCCCTAAGGTCAGTTTAATAATAAAGGATTCATATGGCCACATGAAAATTCCTCTTCTTTAGACAGTAACAATCAGGAGGTGTTTCTGGTAATGAACTACCTGAAGATTTCACCTCTAGACTACATACTTCCTGCATACGTTAACAGGAATTTCATGCTGTTGGCCTTTCAATGGACTGTTTGGCCTTGGTGATCTTAGGTGAGTTCTCAGTGGAAAGATGTCTGTGGCACAATACCCACCTTGTCAGTTAACTGCTAATAGCTATGGCACAAAGACAAAGTAGTGCTTGGGTTAGGGTGACACAGCTGAGTTATATATGTCTGTGTGTTATTTTTTTCCCAATAATTTACAAGGAAGATGCCAGAAAACTGGAAATTGTTTTGAACTCTGAGGAAGTTATATCCGTGCATGTGTATGTTATTTATATGTGTGTATATATACATAAATAGTTCTTTATTGATACATATTTGATAACTGATCTTGTGGGGGGTTCAGAAGACTTCTCTGAAGCCTGTTTGGTTATTGGAATCATTAAAAGATTTCCCAAACATGATTCAAGCAGTCACACAGCACAATTAACAAAGCCTACCCTCACTTCTGTTTCCATTCAGTTTGCAGAAGTAACGTCAACAGGAATCCTGAAGCCTGTTTAGAATGCATTGTGGTTTACTTGCAAAGGAAATACCTTGTGTTCCTGATGTCATCATTGCAATCATCTCAAATTCAAGTCTGACTGAGCAGGCTCATTATCATTCTCACCATGTCCTCCCTTAGAGCAGCCTCTCCCGCCTCCTCCTGTACAGCACAAAACAAGAGCCGCAGGGGTGCTAGGATTAGGGAAAGGAAAGACACCCAGCACCTCCCCCCAAGAAAACTTGCTGCATTACTTCCATCTAGTTTCTTCAAACTACGTACTGCTTTACAGGACCTTGCACGCCACCACCAAATGAAGGTGTGGATTCACAGATACTGATTTCACCTCCCTGTTTAGGGTTGAGAAAAGAGTGTGCCAACCTCCTCGCTAAAAGTTTCCACACATTTCAGACTGTTTGTTTTGTTTTGTTTTTCACGGGGGCAGGTTTCTCCCTTTCATCTTACAAGGTTAGCTAACATCTAAGCAACAGCTAGGAAAGCAAGACAGAAAGGGCAGTTGAGCAAAAAGAAGTACAGTTCAAAAAGCAGGGGACAAATTGTCTCAGGCACCAGGTTTAGATCACAACCACATTTCCTGAAAATTCAGAAGGTCCTGGGTGTGGACCTCAGGACCGATTTTGATATGGGTCTCTGACCCATGACCGACGTGAATTTGTGGATATCTCCCCTAAACCATCACCAGTGAATGATCCCTTTCACACAAGCAGCTGATTTCCACTGTGGAAGAGAGGAGGCAGGACAGGGTTAACCTCTCACAGTCTTCCTTCAGGCCCCCAGAGGGGCTGAGGTTTTGTTTTCCTGGCTGAGGGAGGGGAGCTGGGGCACCTATTGTAACTGGAACTGGAGACCTTTCTGGTGTTACCAGAACGTTTTGGGTTTGAGGGAAAGCCTGGAGAGGAGGGAGAGGAGGGAGAGTGCAGGCTTGGAAAGCAGCGAGTGTCTGGTAATTGCACAATGTAAAGCCAAGTGTCTCCATTTCGCCGACCCCCCCTTGAGAGCTTAGAGGGATCCGAGAGGCCTCCAGCCTCCCTCCCAGCCCTCCAGCCCCCTCCCCGCAGCCCGGCCACATCTTTCAGCTCTGCCGTGCCAGCCTCTGCCTTGATGCGAGGTGTCTATCCCTGTCTACAGCGCGGGGAGAAGCGGGGACAGAAAGAGCAGGAGTCCCCTGGCTTTCGGGGTGGCCGGTCCTGGTCCCCCAGAGCCTGCGGGGGCTCGGACAATCCCCTGCCCTTCCCCTCCCCCTGCGCTGCAGAGGCTCTGGATGCTGCCGTACTCCTGCCATGTGCTGCCGCCGCCACTACTGCTGCTCGTAGCTTAGTCGAGCGTGTCTCCGGCTGCAAACTCCGCAAAACAAGCCTGCATCGTCCTCCGGGGAAGGATACCCAGTAAGTACCAGCCGGAGCCTGCCCCCTCCCTAGGGCACCCCGCCACCGCCTCCTACAAAGGGACTCGCAGCCTCTCCCCACCCCCTTTTTTAAGCCAGTGCAGAGAGGGGCTCCGTGAATTCCCTCCAAAGCTATAGGGTGGCTCCCTCCTCTTCCTCCTCCTCCTCCTTCTCTTCCCGCTCCGGCTCTCCTCGGCGAGCCAGGTTGCTGCTGCATTCAGATGGGGTGGTCCCCAGCCTCGCCCCAGCCATGCCGCTGCGGCTCACCCCCCACGGCTGACTTTTGTTGCCCCTCTAGTGCCCGGGGCTGAACAGAGGTGGGCTCATTTTTGGGGGTGGCTGAGGCTCGAGAGGGTGTGCGCGTGTGGGAGGTGTCCCTGGGTGTGTGTGGGGGGCTGGCTGACTCCCCCACCGCTGCAAGCCTGCGGGCTCGCTAGCCGGGGTGCCTCTCAGGTGGGCGCGGCAGAGGGGCCGGGCTGCAGCGGGGACCCCGCCACCCTGACATCTGCAGGTGGACTGGGCGAGCCAGCTGCGGGAGCCTCCCCAGGAGCCAGCAGCACCCTGGACCCCCTGCCCATCTCAGCCTGCTCCATGCCCGCTCCCCCCCAGACCCTCTCCTGTCCTCATTCCATCCCTTCTCCCCCTCTCTCTGCTGGGGTGCCTGCACCCTTCCTCACCTCGGCGGTACAAACCCCTCCACTCCCCTCCCCTCCCCGCCTCTCCCCACCTTCTTTGATTTATTTGTGTATTTCTTTCCTTGGCAACCACCAGTTCCCCTCAGTCAAACAGCGCAGGCTCCCTATAATTTGAAATTAATTTGTTTGACTGCAGCATTGAGACAGGAAGGTTGGGAATTTATTTAATTCTTTTTCCTCCCTGTGCAAAAGGAAGCGATGAAATTTCCAATCGAGACTCCAAGGAAACAGGTGAACTGGGATCCTCAAGGTTGGTGCATCTCTATTACTATCATTACTGTAATAATAACAATTATTATTATTCCTTGTGTCTAGTGACTTGTAGGAGACTATTTGACTCCAAATGGGAGGAGACATTGGATGCTTGTCTGCTTCCCATGTGCACTGCTCACTCTTTCTTGCTCAATCCTAGCAGTATATTAGAAAATGCTCCTCAGATGTGGGGTTGGGTGGGTGCGTGGGTAAAACCTCTTCTAGCTGTAAGTTTTATAGTTCTATATTTGATCTCTCTTCCCTCCTCTCCCCTCTCTTTTTTCTTGAGTGTTCATGGCAAACTTGCCTGGGATGGCAGTGATCTCTGGCTCACAGCATTGTTTGTTTTATCTGTGGCTCCTTTGTTGCTTCTAGTGATCATTGTCTCTGCTAAATGGGTGGTACAGGAGTGGACACAGATGTGACTGGTTGCTCAGGGCTCCTCCATGGCAAATGTTCGTTGGCAAGCAACTGGAGCAAAATGCTGCTGCAATATAACTCGTAGTGTGGATGGTATAAAAACACACATTAAATAACGGAGCCCAAAGGGACCTTTAGACTCTTTGCTCTGTCCTGTTAACAACTGATCAGCCCAAGTGGATAGTTTGATTAACTCTATCATTAGGTTTGCAGTCTGTCTTGGGGACTGTGCTTGTGTGATGGTGGAAGGAGATTTACGCTAGTGCAGTGGTTTTCAATAAAACAATCCAAGCGGTGTTTTAAAATAAACCGTAATGAAATGCTCTCCTTTCCTGGCATGGGGAGGAGGTTCATATGCCACCTACGGAAGAAGTGACTGAAAAAACCCTACTGGTAATTTGTATACTGGTGTGTCATATTTCTGTGCATCGGTACAGGAGCAGAGCAACTTGAAGCCGTATGCTCAGGTTTGCAGCAGAACTGCTGGCAGCCAGTCACTGTGCAGCAGTGCTTGCAGCAAGTATGAAGTGATAGCATGGGCTTTGATTGTTCATCTTTATTCTGCAGGTTTGGTTTTAGTGATCAATTTGTCTGTCATCCTTCGTGCCCTCATGTCCACAAAATGAAATGTTAGAAACAATTTCTCCTGCTGTAGAAGGAGTACAGCAGAACAGACATCTTTCTGCTGAGCAGATCTGATGTGCTGTTTGAATAGTATACACAATTAAGCTTTAGTTTAAGCCTTGCATCTTTAATTAGGTGAGGGCTGAAATGGACATATCAGCCTCCTCTGCCCTCAGCTTCACAATGAGCACATGGATAATAGTGGTAACAGAGATTTGATTGTTTTAATAAAAGTATATTTCTCGTCCTAGGATCAAAGTTCTGTGGGGTGAAAACTTGCTCTTGCCAGGTGCTTTTCTGAATGTGTGTCTGCTGTTGCTTCATTTTAATTCATTTTATGTATTGCAAAATGTCTTTTAATGCAAAAAGCCCTTTCCTCCCTTCCACCGAGAAGGCACACAGAAGACTGTACTGATGGCATTCTGTATGCAGCTCCTTTGCTTGGCAATCAGCTTTAAAACATATGGATCCAACAGGTGGTTGGTCACAATTTACTAATGTGTCCAAAACTGTAGAGTACTGTAACGGTTAAAAGACCTCAAACCCAGCAGGTTTCCTCTCTGCCAAGCTGAATCCCTACTAAGGACTGCAGAATCCTACTAGTTATTTCCCCTCAGTGTATTGACTTTGTTAGCCAGGCAGCAAGGATGCTAATGTATAGCCAGGAAGGAAGCAAAAAATGTTAATTTCTAATTCTTCAAGGGACTCGGGAAATAGATAACATTTGGCGGAATGGAAGAAGGCAAATTAGAAGGAAAAAGAAAAAAGGAAAAGTTGTCTAAGGCCCAATCCTTTAACCAATAGAGGAACAGTGCAACG